CTTATTGTGATGAATCGAAAATTTCTTTTCTTGGTAGTAATATACGCGATAATTTTACTTTTGTACTTTGGACAACGTCGAAGTCAAATTTTACAAAACATCGATTCAAAACCATCAGAGTCATTCTAGTGAATCGCAAAAGTAGTACAGAGTCGCTTCAAATAACATATCTAAAAACCGGAATATACAGGATAAATACGGTATATAATTGTACTTTAGACAAAGTTGCTACTGTTTTATCATATGTACAGCAATCTGAAGACACAAAGTAAGTGCATAATAACTTGAAGTATTAATTAGTATTACTATTGTTCTGTTCTAATATAATTTATATATACTTTTATTAGTAAATTATTAATTTATCTCTAGCACTCACGTTTTTCACTATATAGTTACTTAATTTTGCCGCGTATTCCCGCTGAATGGATATTTCCGTATTGGAAAAACCCAGCAATTAAGGCCACATTTAGTATTCGCATTTATCACAACAACGATGAAATTGCTTTTTCACATATGCGTGGTTATAGAACTCGTGAAGGAAATATGTCCTGTACATACTTTCCTCTTACACCTACAGTAATGTCTACTCATTCAGTATCAGTAGTAGTCGTATCTTCGGAAGTTTATTTTTCTTTAAATAACCCACATATGACAAGTAGCTTGGTGTATGCAATATCTGTTATTAAAAATATCAGNTACTATGTTAAAAACAATTGCAGAGATGTATCATGGTCTTATGAAATACTTCCTATAAATTCTAGCCATTACGAAACTATAATAACCAAAAATCTTATTCTTTACAAGTAAGATACATAACTCAAAACAATAAAAAAAGTTTATAAACTGCTGTATCAAGAATGAAACGTTTGCAGTAAGAACAAACTTACTTTCAGTGTAGCTGACATTATATACGATGACAAAATAGATTCACTTACACGAAGAAAAGAAGTAACATGTTTGATCGCACGTACTGTAATACAAGAAATTTTCAATGAATGGTTACCTACATTGAAACACTCTGATTCTTGGTTTATGGAAGGTTTTTTCACGTTTTACGGAATTTATATTATTGATCAAGTAATTTATACATTATCATATTTGTATACACTTGTTATAATAAGATGATTTCTTTACATACAAATATATTTGAAAAAAGAAAAAATATATGATAATATATAATAATATTATTTGTAATAATGAAAACTATTTTAGATTTGCTTTAAATCTTTGCTGAATTTGATGGTGGTCCAAACACGACGGGAAGTTCTTGATTTTGCGGAAGCAGTTATT